CACACTCTTGAGATGGTTCTGCAACCGAGGAATGGAGTGAAAATGCTTAAGGCAGGCAAGACAGGTGGCATGGGGCGCAAAGAGCCGCTTGGGCGCAGGTAACCCATGGTGGCGGGCTATGTGAACGCTGAGATGCTTTTTCAGCGGGAAACTAGCTGTGCAAAATGGACAGCGATAGAAGGCGTCCTCGGGAGGAGGAGAGGACGGTGGGCAAACAGCTGCGTTCCGGCGGCCTTGAGCCCATCGCTCAAGGTCAGCAAAATAAATCCTGGCCGCTGCATTGAGTTGCCGGCGCCACCAGGTGCGGTCCTGTAGCATTGTCTCAGTGAGTGCTACAAGTGGACGGGGCGAGTCCAGCAGTAGCTGGACGGCAGGGCAGTACATGGCAACGTACTCCAGGTCGCCCTGCAACATTGCGAGCCACGACCGTGACGGCGTGGACTCCCACTGCCACCAGAGATGGAGGAGTGTCAGGGGCCCATGTTCGAGAACCCTCAGATACAGGCTGGCCCTGGCTTTCGCAAGCGCAAGTGGCGGAGCGAGGGCATTGGCTTGCCGAAGCACTTCATAAGAGTGGATTTTGTCGGCGGCAGAAAATGCAGGGGCCTTAATGATTAGAATAGGGTTGGGGGGTATATGATTATGCTGTACTTATTTATTAATATTTACAATAAAGAGCCCCCAAAACCCATTCTAATTATTAAGGCCTTTACGTTGTGTTATTTTTCGCGACTTAGTTGGATTGGGCTATCATAGCTTTGGCATTGGGTTAACAAGTTGGGCTGGCTAGAGAGCCAGCAACCAGAGAGCAGGAGATCTCTTTTGGGGTCCTTATTATAAGGATCCTACCATTTAGGGTACTATAATTGGGTCCCCTATTCTTGGAAACTCCCAACAATTATTTGATGGTCCAGGTAGGGTCTTGGGCTGATACAAGGGCACGTGAACCCGGACTAGACCTAAATTCAACCCTATACCACAAACAGTACACTCTAAGCCCCTGTCAATCCAAGAACCCTAAAACCTACAACCCCAAACCCTAAACCCTAAACCCCAAACCCTGAATTCCCTAAAGCCGTGTGCGGCGCGAGGAGTTTGAGCAACTCCTGAATCGACACGGCGCCTGAGGGTCAATGCATCCCTGCCCTGCATCCGTCTCGCCCTGAGCATGCGTCTAGGTCTCCCACTCAGACCCCCGGGAGGATCTAGAATCTAGAAAGTAGATCCCCTAATTTGGGGCCCTATACTACCAAGGGTACTTTATAGGAACCCCCATTAAGGGATCTACTTGTTGGATCCTCCCCAGGTCTGGGTAGTGGGCCCTTTGCACTTTTGTGGTCTTAGGTTCCTTGCAATTTTGGCAAAAAGGGATCTATACGGGTACCACAGGGTTAAGGGCTTCTTTGAGGGTCGGCCTTTTGTTCGAAAATTCAACTTAAGTTCAGGACAGCTGCGGTGTTCCGAAGGCGAAGGGTTTGGGGCTGCTTGGGTTGAGCGTGCATGGGTGGTTGTCAAAATTAAGGGTCCATGATTTTGACAACCACCCACATTCCTGCTGGTTCGGTTACCTGGCGTTTAGGGCTTAGGGCCTGCAGGGCGTGTGTAGGATTTAGGGTTGGGTTGCTGTTGCTGCAGCGACCGCAGCTCACAGAGATCCCAATATCCCTAAATTGAGGAATATACCTCCAACCATGATATGAAGGCCCCTATAAATTAAGGTACTAGGATGCCCAGTAGTACCCTTATTCCCTTTTTGTAGTCCTAGGTTCCTTATAGAGTTACCCAATACCAAAAAGAGAGGCCTTTTTATTCTTAGGTTACTGGGTATCCTAGGGTATATTCAAATTCCTTAATGAACGGACTTGGGATACTAAGGGTACTTTATAGGAACCCCGATTAAGGGATCTACGTTTTGGATCCTCCCGGGGGTCTGGGTATGAAGGCCCCTATAACTTAAGGTATATTCAAAATCCTTAATGAACGGATATTGGGATCTCTGATCAGAGGTTGGGACTATAATCCCCCTGAGCGACATCGGTCCGCTTCTTGGCTTGCGTTTAGGGCTCCATGTACCCTTGTAGTATATACTTAGGCCTCGAAGTACCTATATAGAGACCCGTTTAAGGCTTAAGTATCTACTATAAAGGTACATGGATCGTTAAATGTTGGGGTGGGGGGCCGAGGATGTGCTCGAAGTTTAGGTGCTCAAGAGCAAAACGTGCCTTGCCTACTATAGAGGCCTAAATAATTACCTATACTATTTAGGGGTTCCTTATGCGGTTCCCAAAACCCCATTCGAATTTTTCAGGACCCTACATATTACTGCCATCATGCAGGTGATCTCTTGTTGATCTTCATTGTGACAACTCTGTGTGTTTTCTCGGCTCCTCGAACATCTGCAACCTCTCGCAACTAGGTGCAGGAGGCCAGCGATAGCTTTATGCTTCCGGGTTTAAAGTTTAGGGTTTAGGGGTTTAGAGATTCGGGCTTTGGGGCCGTAATAGAGACAGCGGAAGACGATGGTAATGACTCTTGATGCTGATGTTCATGATTATGGTGATGGCGGTCATGCTACTTCTGCTGGTGACGACGTTGAGTAAGAAGACGGCGGTGATGATTTTGCTCGTCATGACAAGCAGTGTAGAAGCCTGAACATATACCAACATTATTTCCTAGGGCTGAATCATTGTATAACATACGCACAAACTCTGTTCTGATTGTCAGGGCCCCTATATTCTACGGATTTGGTGGTGGTGCCATACCTGTTGTAACCCTAAACCCTCATGCAGCCCTTATAAGCCCTTATAATCCCTTTTGTACCCTGAACCCTTATGGCCTGAAAGCCTAAACCCGAATTATGAAGCTTCGGACCCTTCCTGCCATGAATTGTACGATGCGGCATTGGTAGCCATAGTACCGGCAGCATTTCCAGTTATCATCGCCGCCCTACTCGCGTGCAAGAGTCATACTGGTTATGTTGGGTCTTTCGGTTTGAAGTTGTTGTGAAGCTAGTTTGCTTAAAAGACCTTTTTAGAACAACTTACAGACCTTTTTCCAAGAAAACCCGGTTTGGACGCCATTTACACACACGCTTTAAAGCGAGAAAACCTTCTAAACCCTAAGCCCTAAAGCTTCTACCAGCCCCCTCCAGGCCGACTCGCCACAAATTGGGCAGAACCGCGAATTAGCCAGAGATCCCAAACCCCTGCTTGGAGGATCATACTTGGAGGGTCGGGAGACTTAGTAAGTAGGTAGTAAGTAGACGTATAGTGACTTATAAGTACCTTAAAAGGGGCCTTAATTGGGTTTATGATATTTATAAGTCCCTAAAATAACTACTTACTAAGTCCCCCGACCCTCCAAGTAGGCGGCCAAAAGGGGCTCATATTGAGGAATCCCTACCCCAAGAATCCCACCCCCACTTTGGCTTCCCATCAGATGATCTTCGGAAAAGATGCCTTACATGACATACGGGCTCTTAGCATCTACGTTAGAAGCTGGCCCCACCCTGTAATAGTGGTATAATAGGAATATAATAGGGCCCTAGTATAATATTAATATAATCCTTATAGTCACTATTACAGGGTGGGAGGCAGCTTCTAGCATCTACGGATTAGAATTCAGGCTTTAGGTTTTAGGGTTCATCGAGGCATGACCTGACCCCTACACCCCAACCCTAAACAGCGCACCTTACACCCTTAGTAAGTAATTAGTTTAGGGACTTATAAGTATCATAAACCCAATTAAGGCCCCTTTTAAGGTACTTATAAGTCATTATAAGTCTACTTACTACCTTACACCCTAAACCCTGAATCTCAAAATGCATTTGTTGTAGCCTCCTTGTAACTGTTGCATTCTGGCTTATATTCAAACCATAGAAGGGGGAGTTGGCTATGATGAAAGGAATGCTTCAAAGATCTACCTACACCGTTTAAAGGAGCCGTTAAAACAACCTTGAATTCTAAACCCTGAACCCTTTATATAAAGGAATCTGTAAAGAATCCCTTAACGGGACCCTTAAAGAATACCTTGAGGAATCCCTTTAACGGGAATCTCAAATCTGGGTTTAGAGCCCTGGGCATCTACGGTTTATGAGGGTTTATCTTATTGGCTGTAAACACAACTTTTCAACTTTTGGGATTCTTATGAGGTGGTCGATTCTGAAAGTTTCAACCTTTATTTGCTTGGGCTTCGGGTCTGTGAGTTTAGGGTAAATACAAGGGTTTAGGGGTTCAGGGGGGGTTAGGGATAGGTAACCTATACGTATACTTATTTCTAACCCCAACTAAGGTACTTATAACCTTACTTACTAAGTCCCATGATCCTCCAAGTAGGGTCTAGAAAGTAGAACCCCAGACGGGGGCCCTGTACTGCTCAAGGCTACTTTGTACTAGGAAACCCCCTTAAGGGGTCTACTTTCTAGATCCTCCCGGGGGTCTGGGCGAGATAGCGAGCTTCAGGTGGCCAGCAATGGAGACCTGCTTTCTTTTCACATCCATAAGGGTTCTATAAAAATGGTTCTGTAAATTAAGCTCCTTTTCAGGGCTCCTCTAAAGGGATCTATCGGGGTTTCTATAAGGGTACTACAAGGATTCTTTTTGGGTGGTTCTCGGAAATGAGGGTTCTTTTGATAAGGGTGCCGTACTATTTTGGGGACCTAAAAAGGCACCCTAATTTAGAGGACTACCCTTTTGAAGGTTGCTCTCTGGGCTTTATAAGCCGTTTGCAAAGTCTTGGTGATATCGTATTCCTTGGTTTGTTTGCACGGCTGTGCAGTGAAACTGCAGCAGTTTGTAATGGGGCTTATAGAGCCCTTTAAGGAATCTGCAGCGGAGGCTGCACTGGTAGCTTGTATCAGGCTCGTAGAAGGGTGAATCACAGATATGCAGAACGGAGAAGTGCACTCAGCACTCGGCTTCCTTTTGACGTGCGCGTTGCACGATCCGATGGCTCAGGTTCGCCCTAAAGGCTCGTGTCACAAACAGGGGCCCCTGTTGAACCTAGAGGCCCGCGGAGTTCCAGTCATCACTGAAATCAAGAAAGAACATACCTGTTGCACTAGCCCCAAAAGAGGTCAGTGATGACTCGTACTCCCTGTACAATTGACGATCGATATCCTCAACAGCGGACCTACCTTGCTTCTTTGCCTTTTTGGCACTGGTAAATGCAGGGTCGTACTTGATGCACCAATAGCCTGAGCGAAGGAACTTGATCAATCCAGCACGGCATTCGGCTTTCTTCTTTGTCAAAGCATCGGCCAAATCGTAGTCCGATGCTACCCATCTCAAAAGACATGCTGTGCGTGCCAGGTTTCCCCGCAGTTGGAAGGCTTGCAAAGCTGATCTCATATTGCTAAGCCCAAGTAAGGGGCTCTCATTGAGCTCCACAGCATCATAGCCGCCCTTGCTGTCGGTGCACACAATGCCCTTCACGGTCATGACCTGCTGCTCCGTGTTGTCCACGAGATCTCGGCGTAGGGGTCCGGCATGTAGTTGATGACCGGCACCATGTAGTTCACTCCACAACAACCTTGCTCTGAAGTTGTTGTCCTCGGCTTCAAGAACTGCTTGTACTTCTGCATCGTTGCTGCTTATGGATTTGCGCTTTAGCTTCCATGTACGCCAGGCCAGAATATTCATGGGGCATACTTGACCAGATTCACATTCTGGTCCAGCGATCAATGTGATCAAACCCCCTGTAGAATCTCCCTTCGGCCTGTTGTTGTGAGCTTGGTCTCCCATACTCACGAACACCAGTTCAGACCAGTGGGTCACAGTAGGAAACTTCTGAAACACCAGTTTGAACGGCTCACGACGTAGCTCGCAGATGACTTCTTGAATTTCTCTGGCAGTTGCCAGGGTTCCAGAGGTCACCAGGTCGGTGAGCAGTAAGTTACATCGAGCGCAGATTTGTGGCTGTGATTGAATGGCCACCCATTGCAGCACGCCTAAGCTTGTGCGGCACGCTTCGATCTCCTTGTAGGTCATGACATCATCTTGACGTAGGCGATCTGGATCGATAGCCACATCCTGGACCGTCTCCACGTAATAGTCCTGGTTCACAAGGATCTTATCAAAGCCCGCCTTGTCCTTCACGGTCGTCACGTCCGTGCCGGCATGGCGGTAGCTCCCAGATTTCACAGTCCCCCACTTGTACGCAGAGTTGACTGCCTCTTTCACGCGAAGCCACTCTTCGGAACCGTCTCCAATTCTGTGAAAATCATCAACATGACCACCCATAGCTCCGATGGTCAGAGGATGTTCTCCAAGGCTGCAGTCCTTGCGTTCCTTTGACGACCATCGCCACAAACATCGTTCACCAAGAACCGCTTCGCCTCCCAACTTCGTCAGCGTCTCGTGTAGGTCCAACCAGAGTCCACGAGGAGCAGTGGTGCTGCCGTAGATGTTCCTTAGGATCCGCATAATGGCCTCGGATCCCACTCCCAAAGCTTCTCTGAGCTCTTCCACACCACTGGTCCACAGTTTCTGGTCCGCAGCTGTAGGTTGCGTTTGAAGAAACGCTGTCGCCAGGTCAAGTCCTTCAAGACTCCACTGATGCTGCGCAGACATAGCATACAGGAGGTTGCGCCCAAGGGAACTCTGGACAGGACTGGCAGTCTTAAAGGAGGGATCCAGAAGATTGGGATGTTGGAATCCCAATAACACGATCCTGGCCTTGGCTTTGCGCGTTCCGTCCTTGGTGTGGACGGTCTGGGAGTTCGAGGCTGCATCTTGTTTGGCCTCCTCTTGATCTTCAGGTGGAACCAGTTTCCATGTGAGAACCCATCTCGCCTTGACGATCCTCTTGGTCTCGTAGGCTTCTCGTACCTCTTGATCATTCAAGCATCGCCGCACGGCCTCGTTCTTCACAAAGGAGTCCACTTCCTTTGCCTTGGCCCGGTTAAAGAGAGGTCGTTCATGAGCCGGCAGCTTGGATAAAACCACCTCGGCATCCTTCATCTTCTTAACGAGGTAGAGCTGGGGATTGTTCTCCAGGAACCGTCGTTCCCGTCGCGAGCTGGGTGCTTGTAGGTCAAACTCCATCCGAAGAAACAGTTCCGTCTCGGCCATCGCATCGTAGAGGTCAAACTTGGCCTCCATTTCGGCTTCTTTGTATAGAATTTCCACCCAGTTCTCATCCTTGCGGGCCCGCTTGGCCTCGCTGTCGTCATAATCGTTCACATCGGTTTCCGGTGGCTGCTTGATGGAGGACTGGTCGTTCAGGCCAGTTGTCGTTTCTCCACCAGAATCTTCCACTGGGAATGCGGGTGGCGGTACAGCCACCATTGTAGTTTTTCGACTCACACGCCTTGTCGGTGCCACCTGCGTTGACGAATCCGGTCGTTGAGGTAGTTCAGGAAGTTCACTTTCACCTTCGCCAGGCTCTTCACCCAGTAGGTCCGTGTACTCGCGCTTCGGAAGCATATCAGCGAGCGAGCGCCATTTGCTGAAGTCCTCTTGGTTTGAAGTCTCATAGACAAACTTCTCCACTTCCGTCACGGGTCTCACTGAATGCACAGAGCATCGATAGAGACGTGATCCAATCAGGACCCACACAATGTGCCTGCGATCATCTTCAGGTGATTGCTGGGGAAGGATCTCATGGAACACCACTCTCCCAGGGCCTATCCAATGAGGTCGCCCCGAAAGTTTGAATCCTCCCCGTGGTCCACGATGAACTTCCTGTGGCCAAAGCTTTCGCCAGATCTTCACAAGGTCCATTTCCTTGAAGGTTCTCAAGGGCTGTCGCACGGTGGAATTAGACAGCTTGGTAAGGATGCGTTGGGATCGGGACTTCAGTGCTATCTCCTCGGCCTTCTGTCTTTGAGTCACCAGCCTGGCAAATTCACCTCGTTGGTCATCAGGAATGCTGGCAAAGGTTCGGACATCTTCATCAGAGACGTTGTAGTTCTGTCCAAAAGCCCACTGAAACGAGGAATAGCCAGCTGTGTACTCCGTGGCGTTCAGGGCCGATGCGGTCAACTGGAGCGTCACGAACGGGTGCTGCTCCAGTGAGTCCATATGGATTGCGGTCGCCGTTCGTTTCATATCTTGAACTCCTGCTTCTGAAACACCATGGGCCCAACTTTCCTTATCCGCGATGTAGTGAGCCGCAATGTTGATGGATGACAGGAAGTCGTGCATCTTTTCTGAGGCAAAGCTGTAGGCTGCATCGAAGATCACGACCTCAGGTTTTGGGAAAACCCCCAACCATCTCTCCGAGAACGCCTGGATCACTTCATCGGTGGATTCTGCCTGCATGGCAAGCACTTCGTAGACCAGTAGAGGTTGCACCACACGTAGCTTCGTTGCCATATCCATGAACAGTGCAAACTTGGCCTTCTTTTTGGTCCCAGGGATGTTCCATTCGGCCACATCCACAGTCACTGCTTGCCATGCTCGGTACATCGGAGTAGTAGTCGCCGGTGGTATATTTCCAGAACTCGTGCCGCCCGGTTTGAGAGCCTCACACGCCGGACAGCGATGATGTAGTGCAACTTGTACCTTCCACTCTTCATGACCACCGTCCTTCACGATCCTAGCCAGATTCTTATTCGTGGGGTGTCCAGCTGCACGATGTATCTTGCTGATCTTGGCCTTCCAGGCTTCCAAGTCCGCTTGTGGTACATCACGAAGTACAGATGGGTCGATCTCCTGCGCCTGTAGTTCGCCAGAGAAAGTCGTGGTGCATGCATCATAACTACAAAGACCAGGAGAAGGATCCGGAATTCTGGGTTCTTGCTCTCGGCTCACTGATTGAATCATCCCATCCTGACCAGAAGAAGGATCGGGAATTCTGGGTTCTTGCTCTTGGCTCTCTCGTAGTACATGTAGTTCAGCTTGCTGTTTTGGCATTGGAAATCCTCGTTGTCGTAGTGATTGATATTGCTCCTCGGAAAGATCCATTGCCAATCTCGTAGTGAAAGCTGAAATACCGATGCGAAACCCATTCCATGACTGAGTCGCATGCATGACTCTTGGATCGAAGATCGTGACCTTGTGGTTGATGTCAATCACGTGTCCCCTGGCCATGGTGCCATCAGCCATTCGTCGACGCACGACGGGTTGACCAGGTGGTGGTTCTTGTCGTAGCCAGAGTCCACCTCCTCGGAAATCACCAAGTCCCAGGAGGATGTTGTTCGTAGTCAACAGATTGTGATGGTCACAGTGGGGCGCAGACTTCGCATTGAAGGTCACCATAACTGTTGACCATTGTTCTCGAGGTAGTTGATGACGTAGAACAGCATTGAGCAAGCGGACCAGTTCTGGATGTTGGTCCGTTAGCTTGGTCACTCCCCGGAAGTTGCCATGGGAGTAGGCTCCAAAGGTGAAGCTGTTCACATTGGGGATAGTCCCACGAGAATGTTCATTGTAACTCGACCTTCTGACTGACAACGATTCGTGTAGAAGTAGGAGCACGCGTTGTAGTTGATCGAGTTCCAGTAGTCCTCGGGCCCTTGCTTCTCGCGCAACATGCTCACAAGCAATCTTGTTGCTGGCCGACATAGGCATAGCAAACACTTCCGGAACGGAATCCAGGTCGGGGCTCTCTTCTTCCAAGACAAGATCTTCATGAAGTAGTTGTCCTTGAAGTTCATCATCACCATCACATAGGTCCGGGCCATCGACTTGTAGCTTAAGCAACTGACGATGGCGCGAGGGAGCCTGTTCATCTCGCCAGTGTCGAGCTATCGACTGCACCATCTTCCAAGGGTAAAACCCGTTGCTGTGAAGGTTCTCATCGGAGTTGAAGTTGTGGTGCTTGTGGTTTCCTGGACAAACTTTCGCTCTAAAGGACTTGTGGAAGCGCTCATCTGTAGTCCGGATGAGCCACTGCTTCTTCACGAAGTGGCCCCTTGTGTCTTTCATGCCGTAGTTGCACCCATCCAATCGGCACGGTAGCCATGGAACTCCAAGGCTGTCCATGTGGTTCGCCAAGTCTTCCATGGGTGCTTGTCTCCATCCAGAGCTTGGGTGCGGCCACTCAAAGTAGATCTGGAGATCAGGGATCCATTGTAGTGCGTCCTTCACGAACTGGTTCATTTCCCATAGCGCACGTCGCTCCTTGCGACGACCCGTTTCCAACTTCACCTTGAGCTCCTCAGTGTTGTAGTTGGCCGCTTCCCAATTGCACCACCTCGCTGGTGACAGGGAGAACCATATCTTGCACGGACGCCGCCTTCGAAGAAGTCCTCGTAGTCCTTGCCACGTCTCCTTCTGGTACAAGTCGTAGCCACTCCGATGATCAATACGGCGAGGTTGTAGTCCATGTTGTTCGGCCGCCTGGGTGAGCCAATCGTGGGGTCCACACGAAACTTCCCATAGTCCGTCTCGCCCTGTCATATGTAGGTCCACCAGCATAGCCGTCAACGCCGTAGTCATCAGAGCCGACATAGCCAAGACTTTCTTTCCAACGTAGAGCGACATCTCGCTCACCTTGGGTCGATACTTCACTGACTCTGAGTCACCTCGTTCTCGTACGCCGCAATCAGCTCGGCATCCGGGTCCACTTCCACATGGTCCCACGTCGAGCTTGGTGTCGAAGGATACCCGGCGCTGGCCACCTCCGCCTTGCGGGCCACGATCGCCTTGTTCAAGACAACCTCGGCCGTGATCTTGTCGAGCATGTGCTTGCAGATCTGCGCCGTCGGTCGAACATCTCCCATCAGCGGCTGGAGCTGCGACAACATCATCTTCACAGTAGGACCATTCGTTGTCGCCGTAGTGTTCGCCGGAGAGCCCTTTCGTGGCGTGTACAGAAGTCTGTAGTCGCAGATCGCGCAGTGCACCCACTGGCCGTGACGGTTGGACTGTGGCGGTGCTGGCTGATGCGCTCCGTAACACGGCCACTGAGCCTTTGCAGCCCTTGGGTCGCGAGTATCGGCTCGCATCCGCCTCGTCGGATCCAGCGAAGGAGCCCGGTTCTTGTTGTTCGCCTTCTTGGCGGCATTGGCTGCCGCAAGGATCATCTCGTCGTGAATCTCCGGGGGAGCACTCGTGGAGGCTGCCATCTCGCGGAGGGGAGCTTGGAGAGGATGTTGAGGAAAAACCTGTTGCGTCAGCTGAGCGACACATTTGAGCTGAGGAAGAAGCCGCAGCACTGACACGTTGAGACTCACGATACAACATCCACAGCCTGTTGCGAGAAGTTTCAAGCTCACGCTCATGCAGCTCATGGTCAGCAACATTCAGATCAATCCATGCAGTCCAAAGCTCGAGCATCTGCTGTGAGAGGTCCAAGGTCTCTTTGGTTGGGGTCGTACGAACAACTACATGAGCTTGACCTTCAAGGCATTTCTGACCATTAGTTAGGTAGTGGACAATATCCATGGTGTAGTGCCCCTTCTGATTGATGCAGAGCTGAAACACCTGAGGATTGGACTCCTTGGACAACATAGCTAAGCCTGTGGAGAAATCAATCAGCATGCCAACGCCGTTGGGTCCCAAGAAGTCCATACCTATGAGGATAGGCACTAGGGCTGACTTGTCAAAGCTGGACTGATAGTACTCGGCAGGGTTCGGTAGGGTGTACAACGAGAAACTTCTTGTAGATCCTGATGCTCGACTCTGTAGTGTAACCTTACACACAGCTCTCCCCCACTTGCCGTTCCCAAACCGAAAGTATGGCCGAGCGGACTGATCGAGGTCAATGCGAGCGTTCTTGTCATGGCACAAGACGGCGTTGATCAAGGACTGTACAACCGCCTCGGGAGCTGCAGAGGCTGTTGCGCCGCAGTCAAGAAGACCGACTTCTGCGGCTGGAGAGCTACTTGAATCCGCAGAGTTGATCTCCTTCGAATCCTTCAGTTCCAGTCCGCCAACAAAGTACTCGCCGGCCATGTACGCATTGACCGATCGATTGCCATCCTTGCTCTTGCCCTTCGTCTTGCCCTTGCCTTTGTTCCACATGGCTTGAGATTCTAGCCACATGCCTTTCTTTCCTTTGCCCTTTCCCTTGGACTTGCCCTTGCCGGCGAAGTTGTGGTAGAGGTCATCCGTCTCCGCGTGGTAGTTCTTGGATTTCCCCTTGCCATAGCCGTTGAAGGATCCCGGCCGACGTTGGGGGCAGTCACGTAGAAAGTGGGAGCCACCGCAGGCGTAGCACTTGGGCCCAGCTCCTGCACCGGGATTTTGAGCTCCAAATCCCCTGTCTCTGCGCAGGGCTTGAGTCGCCCTTTGGGCATCGGCCCACGTCCTGTTGGCTTCCGCTGCGAGGCTCTCGGCAACACGTTCTGCCTGTTGAGCCTCTCGCAGTTTGTCCTGCGCCTCAGGATCCACAGGCTCCTCAGCAGTGGCTTGCAAACCCTCTTGGCCCTCGTGAACCCAGTCCTCGGAATCCCACCAGTTGTCGGTGTAGTAGTCGTCGTACCACCAGTTGCCATCATCGTACCACCAATCGTTCTCTGAAGTCTGATAGTACAAGTGGTCCTCCTCCTGTGCCTCAAGGTGGTGAGCATTGTACGGGTGGTGCGAAGACGGGTGATGCCGGTGCCCTAAGAGCTGCTCATCCCACAAGGTCTGAAGAGCCGCTGCTATGACCTCGTACTCCAAGGAATTCTTGCTCGTACTCAAGATATCCCTCTTCTCCTCCGGACTGAGGCCTGCAGCTTGTAAGAGCCGCCATCCCCTCAGGACTCCCAACAGGAACGAATCCGCAAAGCTGAGTTCATCAAGGGGTCCTGGTGGCTCGGCTTCTGGCTGAACATTTCCAGGAACACTCCGATGGCTCGGCGACGAGCCCGCAGAAGCTCGGGGATGATCATGGACAGGTGATTCGGTAGCGTCTTCATCTCCAGCAACTGTAGCACCTTCGCCTTCTCCGGGAGCATTTCCCGTTGCCTCTTCATCGCCGTACCACGAATCACCTCGGTACCACCATTCACCAGCATCGGCCTCAGGGCTTGGTAGGCCGAAATCACGTTGATCTTGTGCCACACCTTGCTTCTCCTCATAGAGGCGCGTGATCGCCTCCACAAACTCCTCGTGGACCAGCGTCTCCCTGACGAGGAAATTGCCGATGCTCTCGCCCACGCTCCTCTTGAACGAGAAGTACTGCTGGCATATCGCCGCTGCATTCGGAAGCGACTTCCTCACCAAGGGCGACTGAGCAAGTCGCTGGAGGAAGAGTCTCGTCCCGTCCTCTTGGTCGAAGATGGTCATCGGCCACGACATAGCCAACAGCCTCGCTGGTCCTGTGAGCTTCGAAATGAGAATCGCAGCACAGTGGCGTCTTTTGTGAGGCGCCGTGCTCTGAACATACCACGCCACTTCCCTGATGTACCTCCGCCATCCACGGGCTGAGCCGTCCCAGGAAGGTATTGTCGATCGATCGCGGTCCTCGGGCATCGGGACCCAAACTTGTAAAAGAGCTCGTCAAACACAGAAAAAGGAGAAAACCGCTCGGTGTCCAAGCGGGCAGACTTCCAGCAGGTAGAAGAAGAATTCCTGTCGGGTGGCTGGAAAGTCCTGACAAGATAAACTGCACTGCAAAGCCAAGCGATTGCCGTTCGGCAGGCCAGGTCCCTGTTCGTAGCGCTCCGCTACCAATGCAGCGGAGGCTGCACTGGTAGCTTGTATCAGGCTCGTAGAAGGGTGAATCACAGATATGCAGAACGGAGAAGTGCACTCAGCACTCGGCTTCCTTTTGACGTGCGCGTTGCACGATCCGATGGCTCAGGTTCGCCCTAAAGGCTCGTGTCACAAACAGGGGCCCCTGTTGAACCTAGAGGCCCGCGGAGTTCCAGTCATCACTGAAATCAAGAAAGAACATACCTGTTGCAGAATCCTTATATAGAGCCCGTCTACTTGGAGGATCAAGGGACTTAGTAACTAGGGTTATAAGTACCTTAATTGGCGTTATAAGTACTTATAAGTATAGTTACCTTAATTATAACCCTACTTACTAAGTCCCATGACCCTTTAAGTAGTAACCCTCTGAAGGAACCCTTCTAATAGTACTCTTATAGTACCCTTTAAAGGAACCCCTATTGTACCCTTAGGTAGTCCTTAGAAGTGGCCGCAGCTTAGAAGCTCACTCGCTGCATGTGGGGGGCGTGGCACAGCATCTGCAGCCGGCATAGCACGACAAAGCCTGATCTTGCAGTACCACAAATGTACCCTCGCTGTTCTAGTTTTCTTTTTCAGGCCTCTATATTAGGTAGAGAGTAACAGTTGAATAATGTAACGATAGAGATCTTTCAGGCCCTCAGTAGTAGCCCCACTATACACTGTTAATGTCTGGGGGGCAGTACTTACCCAGAATTTTGGGAGGATCTAGAAAGTAGATCCCCTAATTTGGGGGGCCCTATACTACTAAGGGCAGTTTACAGGAACCCCCATTAAGGGATCTACTTTTTGAATCCTCCGGGGGGTCTGGGTAAGGGGTTTTGGGGTTATAACTATGATAAGGAACCCCCAAAATAGGGTTACTATAAGGGGTATTATGGGGCTGTAATTTACGGGCCTTGATAATTAGAATAGGATCTATAGTAAGTTGAAAGCAGCTAGAGTTGTTGGAGGATTGTCCGGGCAGGATGGCCGGTGCTAAATACCCGGATCTTCCAAAAACCCTACGGCTGATGATACGTATCCTGGGGTTCCTTTAAAGGGATCTATAAGGGTACCTTTAAAGGGGTTCCTTCAAGGGATCTATAGGAGGTTTAGGGTTTTGGGTTGATGATATAAATCCTGCATTACCCATAAAAAGGAACATGCCATAATTCCCATGGTTTTGGGTCCTCAGGGTTCTGCAGGATTTATATCATCAACCGTATTATGGATACCTTGAATCAAACTCCTAGTAGGCGAGTAGGTAGCCTTTAACCTTTTTTGGGTTGTATAGTCCCAATATAATCCCTAGATACTCAAAAAGGTTAACCTGTAAGTACGTACAACCCAATTAAGGTTCTTATAACCTTACTTACTAACTCCCGTGGTCTCCAAGTACTATTTCAGTGATATTGCAAGGTCTGGGTACTCTGATTCCAGGGACCTGTGTCTTGTGGGCGTTCGTTGGTTCAATTTGTGCTTTGCTCTGAAAGCAGATGAAAGGAATTAGGGCTTATATCTCAGGGGTCCCCACCCTTCATTCTCAACCCGTCCACCCCCTCCCCGAAAGGAGACACACGCACGCACGAAAGATCCTACGCCGCTGCACGCTGCCAGCTGCGTGCCTGTCCGTAGCATAAGCCATTGAGTACCTCCTTTGATCCCTGTTGGGTCGACGACCCTAAACCCCACGCCCTACGCCCTCAACCTGAACCCCTGTCCTACATTCCCTGTTTGTCGTTCTGTCACGTGCAGGGGCAGCCTGTACTGTTCACTCTACAAGTTTCACGAGAAACCCTAAACCCTAAACCCCTAAACAAAAAATAGAATTTCTCGATGTTTTCCTTCTAAAGACTAGGACCCAGAGTAGGCCCTTATTCCCTTTTTCAGGGTTTAGGTTCCCTTATGACCCCCTTTAAACCAAAAAGGGCACCCTTTTTATTCCTAGGTTACTCTTAGATCTAGAAGAGAATCTCTGAGCGGAGTCTACTTCTCGATTTCAGGTTGTGCAGCTGACACCTAAACTCTCAAAACTTAAACCCCTAGAGTCCGAATATAGGGGCTTAAAACAATTACCTATACTATTTTGGGAATTCCTCATTATAGTTACAGTATAGTGGGCCCCAAAACCCAAAACCCTAAAATATTAAGGCCCCTGCAGTACACCAACTTCAAAGGAACCCTTATAAATAGTACCCTTATAGTAACCCTTTGAAGGAACCCTCTTACAGAGCCCAAAAGGTTTCAGCGTCTCGGGCGAGCAATTACTCTGCGCATGTTTCTGTCCCAGATTTTCTGCAACGATAAACCCTGAACCCCAGAACCCCTAAACCCTCAACCCCTAAAACCCTAAACTCCTAACCCCTGAACCCTAAAGCCCTAAACCCTCAACCCCTAAACCCTAAACCCCTAAACCCCTTCTAGATCCCTTTAAAGGAACTCTTATAGAACCCTTGTAACCTTTACAGGGGCCCACGACCTAAATTCCATATCTAAGGGATCGTGGAAGATCTCAGTCTTTTGGCGTGGCCATTTCTGACATGTAGGGGTTTAGGGTCTTAGGGTTTAGGGGTTAGGGGTTCAGGGTGGGGCTATAAGTAAATATAAGTATAGCGGCCTTAAGTATAACCCCAGTAGCGAAGTCCCATGACCCTTTAAGTAGGGCTTAGGGTCATACGGAATGAAGGGGCGCTTTCAAGGGGGTTGTTGAGGAGTTCTCGTTAGCGGAATGAGCATAAAATGGATCTCTTGCTACCTAGCCCTCAAACCCAAACCCTCCCTATGTTGCTTGAAATTGTCATGATAAGCCCCAAACCGCCCAGCCTGCGCATACACAGCAATTGTTGAGTTGCGCACCGACAAGGCATGCGAGCGCTCGCTTACAAAAGGTCCTGCCTGCCTGAACTTTGAGAGTCAGCGGCGGATTGCTGAGACAGCAAGCGCGCTGAGATGGTAAGGATGGTACTATGGGGGCCTTCCTAATGAAATACCTATGCTGTTTTGGGTGTTCCTTAGTACAATTATAGTATAATGGGCCCCAAAACCCAGTTCTAATTATCAAGGCCCCTATATTACACCAACTCAAAGAGGATTTTTTGTTCGAGCAGCTGCAACAAGTCCGTGCAAGCGTTTTGCTGTGCCATGGCTCTCCGCATGCTGGCCGCCGTCTTCCTGGGTGCTGCTGCGTGGCAGTGCGCCTTCGTGACCTCCGGTGCCGGGCCCACCCGCTCTCCTCAGGTGAGCATGCACGCGGCAGCTGGCCAATCCCAGGCCGCTGAGCAGGAGAACGTCATGTCCCCTGTGGTGTCCCTCGGCATCGGTGCCATCGTTGGCCTTCTGGTGGCTGCGGCCCCAGCATTGGCCGTGAGCGCCCAGGGCTACGAGCAAATGGCAGGCGACGATGTGAAGCGCTACGAGAAGCCCGAGGGCACGTCCAACCTCCTCAAGGAGCTGACGGGCGACAAGCAGAAGTTCTACGCGGGCAAGGTGGACCTGGACTACAGGAGCAAGGGCTACAAGATGGAGGAGTACAAGACCGAGCGCGAGTTGCAGGTCAATCTCAAGGGTGGCAAGTGAGGAGAAGTTTTTTTGTGCAGCAATGCAGATGCCGCGAGAAACCTTTACATCTGCGAAGTCCTGACCCGGAAATACAAAAGCATGTCACAAGTTTTTATGCAGTGCAAGTTTCATTACGACAGTCAGAGCGATGAGTATTTGGTTAACGAGGATCCTTCTCATTACGTCTGCAACGACGACGACGAGTATTGTACTACCACGACCACTACAACCTCCACTACCACTGCTACTACCACTACGACTACTAAAACTGCAGCTGCTGCTACTGCTGCCATTGCGACTACGACTGCTACCGCTACTGCTACTGTTGCTACTACTACTACTACTACTACTACTACTACTACTACTACTACTACTACTACTACTACTACTACTACTACTACTAATACTACTACTGCAACTACTGCTACTACTGCTACTCCTGCTACTCCTGCTACTCCTGCTACTCCTGCTACTCCTGCTACTCCTACTCCTACTCCCACACCTACTCCTACTCCTACTACTCCTGCTCCTACTCCTACTCCTACTCCTCCTACACCTACTCCTACTCCTACTACTACTACTACTACTACTACTACTAATAATAATAATAATACTACTACTGCAACTACTGCTACTCCTGCTACTCCTGCTACTCCTGCTACTCCTGCTACTCCTACTCCTACTCCCACACCTACTCCTACTCCTACTACTCCTGCTCCTACTCCTACTCCTACTCCTACTCCTACTCCTACTCCTCCTACACCTACTCCTACACCTACTACTACTACTACTACTACTACTACTACTACTACTACTACTACTACTACTACTACTACTACTACTCCTACTCCTACAACAACTACTCCTACTACTACTACTACTACTACTACTACTACTACTACTCCTACTCCTACTACTACTACTACTACTACTACTACTACTACTACTACTACTACTACTACTACTACTACAACTACAACTACAACTACAACTACAGCTACTACTACTACTACTGCTGCTGCTGCTGCTGCTACTACTACTAGTGCTACTTGTATTGCTGCTACTGCTACTGCTACTAAACTAGAGCTGCTGCTCCTGCTCCTGCTGCTGCTGCTGTTGCTGCTGCTGCTGCTGCTAGGACGGACACTACTGCTACTACTCGTCGTGCCATTACTACGACTACCACTACCCCCTCTACCGCCACGACTAGCACCACTGCCACCAAGCCGCAAGCCACTGTC